TGAAAGCTTCACTCTAATAAAACAATTCAACTAAAATAAAGAAATGAGTGAAATAATCCAGACTTTGGACCAGAAACCCCTCCTCCTGAGGTGACCTGTGGGTGTTTTGAAGCAGCTCAGGGTTTCAGTCTGAAGGTCAGAGGTCAGAGTTTTATCTCCATCAGGACCTGCTGTGACTGACGGGTCCATATGAGCCGGGTCTGGATCCGCTTAAAGGACTCTTTAAGGCCTCGCTGACAGAACAGCTCCTTTTCCCTCCAGCAGCAGACAAAGACTCAGTGTTGGAGCTCGGCGAGGTCACAGAACCACATCAGAACCAGCAACTGACACCAGAACCCTCCCCGGAGCAGAGATCAGGACCAGCACAACACCTGGGTATGGCAAGCCCTTTGTGTATTTATTCCATATCAAACATCATTTTCTTGTCTGAATATTTTATTTGAACAAACCAGTGGATGCTTTAGGTTCTGCTTCTGATTCGGAACCATGTTTTCCTCAGCTGGTTTTGTTTCCTCCATCATGGTTTTGCTCCACATCTGCAGGTTTGTGTTTGTTCCAAGTGTTTCCTGCCTGCTTCTGGTTTTTGTTCTGGATTTAGTTTTTGGGTTTCCTCTCTCTGCGCTGAGCTTCCAGAGACGTGTCCTCCACCTTCTGTCCTCTTTGTGTCTGAAACCACAGGCTGGGACGACGTTTACCACCCACGAAGCAGAGTCATAAAAATTCTGCTGGTTTTTCTGCTGGTTTTACCTGCAGGTGTGTTGGTGACAACAATACAAAGATTTTTACAGATATTATTTTATACAGCGGGTAAAATAAGTATTGAACACGTCACCATTTTTCTCAGTAAATATATTACTAGAGGTGCTAATGNGAATTTTGCCTGAAACTCTCAGACTGAAGAAGTCTCTTGGAGGAGAGACGAAACGTTTCATTAGAGAAGAACCCGTCCAGAAGACCTACACAATTTTTTTCTTTTTGATTTTTTACCTGGATTACTGAGATGCATCAAGACATACAGAAGGGAAACTTCACCGACGTGAAACATAAATCTGTGGATCTGTGTTTGATTACTCTGCCTGGCTTTCTCAAGGACCAGGATGTGGGACACAAAAATTTGAATTTCAGAACTGAAAGTGACTGAAGTCAAACTGAACTTTTTAATAAACCAAAATACAGTTTGAAAGCAAATTAATTCAAATTCAAAACTTTTAATTCAGTTTCAAACTAATAAATGCAGTTATTTAGTGAAATTTAGTTTCAAACCAAAGCATTCGATTTCAAATTCTGCACATTCAGATTCAATCTGAGCAACTCAAATTCAGTTCCTGCTGGCACAAGATTTATCCCACAGTAGTGAGTCATATGTAATATGGCTGAAAGTCACTTCCAAATAAAGCAGGTGTTTTATTTGTTTCTCTGCCTGAATGTGTGCAGCTGAAGGAGCAGGGTCTGCTCTCTGAGTTATCAGACTTGGATCAGAGGAAACTGAAGTTGGTTTTTCCATCTCTGCTGCTTTCTGATCAGATATTTGGCAGCCGATCAAAGGCAGGCAGCACAAACTCTGCTGGATCCTCTCCACACTGAGAAATCTGGGGATTTTGCTCAGGATAATTCGGACCAGCTCCAAGGCATTCTGGGTAACGAGAGGACGAGTTCAAGCCGAGGTCAGGGAGGTGAAATGATGAATGTTTGCATTTAAAAAAAAAAAACACAAAAAACAGTTCATGATCATCTATTCACAGAAACTGGAGCTGCTGCTTTAAATCATGTCAATGAATTCAACACATGGAGAGAAATATAACCATCTGAGTGACAGAGCTTTTTTATATGTGTAATTAAAGGAAAACTATGATTTTTTGACTTTCCAGGATTTTCATGGCTTCAAATGAAAACATTTCTGCAGAATCAGAAAACTGACCTCTGAAAGGTTTACAGTTACATTTATATTTAATTTGGAAACTAAACTGAATTTAAAGGGGCCATATCATGTAAAATCAACTTTTTTGAGTTTTATATCATGTTATAATGTCATACTC